TCATATGTTGATGTTGGCTCAAAGGTAACACGTTTGAGGATTTCAGCCCATTAAGGGATGCATAGGCAAGAATAGAGTCCCAATAGGAGACGAGCTGTGATAATCCGCTGTGAGAGCGGAAGGGATACAGCGTTGTTAGTTTAAGTGAGTGTTCGAAGGGCTAGATCGTTGTCTAGCAGCAGCTGGATGCATCCTCGACCGAGCTAGCTATCCCAAAGGTATTAAAAACTTAGCTATCGAATGCAGACTTCATCATTAATTCCATTGCTACGGTGTTAAACAGGTATGCTAAGACGCATTTTCTTTCGTTTGCGAGTCTACAAGCCCGGATCTCTCTCCCTACCCGTTCCCAACTTGTTCTCTTATTGACATCTCTTGCTCAGCCAGAGTCGGCATGCCCTCGACCACTATTTGCATATAAGCCAAAGCATACACCGGGCAAAAGCTACCTTAGACTCACATGCTAGAAGCTTAATGATCAAAATCTCATCTAAAAGTTGAAATATGCATCTAGACACTCGCCTCATATTGATTGATGGGTCTAGTCTTGTCGAATGCGCAACTGGCCTTCGAAATCACGCTTCCCAAGCGGCACGCCCAATGTACGCAAAATATTATAAGCGGTAACGGCGTGGAAATAGAAGTTAGGCATCGCAAACGAGAGAAGAAAGGTTTCAGATGTGAACGCCAGCTTTCGAGGTCCGATCTGTAAATCCAGTTCTTTGCTAGCCCAACTATTGACCTCCTCCTGGTCAAGAACTTTTAACGCCGCTTCAGCATCAGCGATCATGCTCCTCAGGTCAGCGAACGGAATGTGTCCGACCAGGGCCGGCGGGTCGAATACGCCGTTTTTCAACGCCTCAAGTCCCCAAACGGAATGGTGAACTACGCATTCGATCTGAAAGTGGAACGGTGCCATATCCTCGAAGAGGCGAGCGTCCACGACGTCATCCGGGTTAGCGCCTGTCTCTGCGCAGTGGACGGCTGTGCGGTCGAGAAACTCCCCAACCGCTGTCACAGTCTGCAGAAAGGTTGGTACGCTGAGATCATAGAGCGATGTCATATTGTGCCAGAATGTTTGCGCTGGACAGGGAGTGTTTGGTGACTATAAGACTAGACCACGTGTAGAGCGGTGAAGCGGAATCGGGCTGCAATGCTGAAACTTCCTGGATGGGATTGCTCTTGACGAAACGATTTCGTAGCTTGTGGTTGTGAGGGCTTATAATAGACGCCATGTACTGTACAAAGCTCCGAAGCTCGAGAAAGCGTATTCTTCGTATTCGTCGCCAAGACCTCAAGGCACCAGTGTCTCCGCCGCGTAACAGTGACAAATCACCGGCGTAAATGACAAGAAGTTGCGACGTTATATTCTGCGCAAGATTGTGATAGTATATGATTGGAGCACTGGCGGTACAGGGGTCATTCTCTAAAAGAAGATCGAAATGACAAGCTTCGTGAACATTGCGCTGAAATACATGTTCACCAATTCCTGCGTTGGAAACAGTGGCAACCAATACAGCGTAACAATCGCTGTACCAGACCAAAGTTTCGCTTGGAAAGTAAGGTAGAAAATGACACAGCACCACCATTTCATCAGAGTCTTGAAAGGGATTGGCGGCTCGAAGTTCGACAGCATCCAGAACCACTTCCAAGGTCCCTTAGGATTCCAATCAGGCTGGTACGTTGCCATCCATGCTCGGTGCACGAACGCATTCAAGGCTTTCTCCACCCATTGACGTTGCTTGAAACTGTACAAGCCGTAGAATATATAGAATAGCATGCTCATAGAGTTCTCATCCCCCCAAATGGCCCTGATCAGGTAGCGTTCTCCCAAATTCAATATGCCGGAAATCGCCTGACCGATGAACAAAAGCCTGTCCGAATATTGACCTGGATTTTGGGGACGCGAAATGCTCAAGTCTTGTGGCTCGTAGCTACGCTCAAGGATGAACTCGCCATATAGTCTGACTGCACCACATTCGTGCCTTGAGTCATGTTGGACATTGCTAGAATTTTTTTGAGTCATCGACCTCGGTTAGACGCAGAGGGCAATCGAAGTGGAAGAAGTACTTGTTGCCCACAACTCGATTAACGACAAATCGTGCGCCTTTTTCCGATTCATCGTCCACTACAATGCACGATACTTTCGTGGGCTCAACAACGTGACCGGCTTTCGATCTCTGTAGTAGTTCAACGTTGTATTTGAGCGCGTTTTCGTGTTGTTCATTGGGTAGCAGGAGCTGGAAGCGGCTTGATTGATGCCCTGCTGGAAGCAAATAGAACTTGAGGGCTTGAGCGTCTTTTGCAGTCCCAAAGATGAAACCTTCTGAGCCAAGCTTTAGTGTGTGCTTCCCTCCAAAACTCTCAGGAGCTATCTCGAGTGGTATCCAAGCATCAACAGTGCGGGTACCCAATCTGGCGCAATCGGAAAAGAGAAGTTCCGTCGGAAGCGACCCCAGGCCATAGAAGAGTTGCTTCATCCTTAAATCGCTGGTTTTGCTTTGTGATATGGCGTTCGCATTCATGCATGACATGTTCATCAAAATCAGCGGAATATCTTCAGCTTGAGTTGTCGTTCTGGATTGCAGGAGGGAGTGAGCTTTGACAAATCTTGCTGCTCTATTAGCCTGTCGAGCATTAGTTGAAAGCGATTATCTTAGGATTTGCGCCAATCACTCACCGGTGTTCGCGCATAATCTTTGTATTCATCAACATGAAGAGACTTCTTCAAGTGTCTAAACAGTTCAGACCGCACCGATTCGCGAAATGGCTCAGTTTCATCTTGCAGACGCTTACTGACTTCGGCCTTAGGCTTGCTCCTACGCGGGAAGAGATCGCGAATTGACCGCCTGAAGTCCTTCGGGATCTTATTCAAATAATAATCCAAAAGGCCACCAAAGCCACCAAAGCCATCGTCGTAGTGTGGCCGTAGCAACTTGAGATATGCTAGTGATCCGTGGAGTGGGAAAACAATACAACCGGACAGGTTGCCCTCCTGCAAAGTCCAAGCTCTTCCCATCCAATTTGAGGCATATATATATGCCACAACATCCAACAAGGTTTCATTTTGAGGGCTGTAGTAGGTCGGACGTCCACCATGCGCCAGAGAAGCCGGGCGTCGACCAGCATCTAAGGCCTGCAGCCCCTTATCAAAAACGAATGTGTGGGATGCCGCAGCATAAATAAGATTCATTGACTCTATAGCCTTGCTTCGAAGGTCCGCGTGTTCCGCACCTTGAGGGATACAGAAACTGTCCAACCAAAAATATTCATATGTGCGGCTCAGCGGTGCGATCTCACCTGGGGGAGAAGATCGCCAATTTGCGATCCACTCGCGCAATCCCCAGTCATCCATGGATGTGGACAAACCCGAAAATACCTCGTCAAGGTATCCGACTTGACATTTTGGTAAGCCGTTCTGAGCCGATCCGAACTGTTGATCAGCCCAGACGTGGGATATTGCGACGAATCTGACGGACGGCGCGTACGGAACTACCTCGAGCTTCGTCTTTCCATGCGGTGATCGTCTGATCCTGACCAACGGAATCCCTCCGGCAGCCACGATGCTATTTACCCTGTCTACCGGGACGGCGACGTTTTCACAGAGGCATTCGTCAGTGCGGTGGAGAGGCTCTGACAATTTGCTAGCACAGAGACACCTCTCGCTGCTGCAGCTTGAGTGATCTTCCGTGTTGATGCGAGGTGGTTTGAGTGAAGATAGGAAGTAAAATGCTGGGTAAGTCATTGGAGATGCCTCTAGGAAGTTCAGTCTTTTTTCGCACCACCCATTCTTGATCATTCTCCGCTTGAGTAGTTTTGTCGTTGCTGAGTCGCGGGACGTCCACGTTACCCCGAGCGTCTCAGAATCGAGCACATATGCCACGATATATAAAAGCATGTGTATGGAGAGGACGACTTCTGTAAGCATATCGTGGTTCAATCCATTTGCCACAATGTCCACGTAAATGGCGAGTATCTGTGCGCTTCTGTAGATGTTTTTAAGCTGAGCCCTCTTGGCTTTAAATTCCGCAGCAGTGAGTCGGTCATCTAGTTCATCCCACCGATCTTTAAGCTCCCGCCAGTACCACTCGGGAGTGCGAACATCCATGCAACTATGGGATCCATCTGGTTCAGCGCATGCGAATTCCTCTCGTCTAATGTTTCGACCTAACGCTTCAGATGCGAGACCGAGGAAGAGACTCGATTGAATGGCTGAAGCCATAGATTGGCCCAAAGACAAGCTAGTCGTCTTCTGTGTTTCCTCCTCCAACGCCCTCATGAACAAGTCCAAGAAATTGGGTTGTCCAGTGATTGAGTATTGGGTCCGCGCAGTTAGGGACACTCGGATGGGTTCCACATCCGTGTCTCGTGGATACGGAAAGAAAAACATTTTCGGAGATCATGACTGTAATGGTGAGCATAAACAGAAATGCAAAGGGACAAGTCTGGCGCCCTGTCTTTAGTAACGGGGGCAGAAGTCTTTATATTTGATGCTGCGCCTACTTTGAGGCGGTGGCTCAGCAAAACATAGCGGGGGTGGGGTAGGCACCTGGAGCGAGCTGAGGCATGACCAAGGCAAAGCACCATTTTGTAAACTAAGGTTACCAATCAGCATGAGTTTCATTAGGGAAATTCTCTACGAAAGTTGATTGAGAGAGCATCTGCAGATTGAGGGGAAAGCCTCTCAAACCTCGTACACATCCTGAGCTTCACACAGCGAATCACCGTGGAAGCCAAACAATATCAACTATCAACATCTAAGCGAGAAGAAAGGAAGCACCTAGAAGATATGATATATGTTTTTCTCTAATCTACAGTATCTTAGAACCTATATACCTCAATGATTCAACTGAACAGAACAGTAACACCTCTGGATCCTAGTGTCGTGCTCTGTTTCGGTTCCTGAGATCATTGAAGACTTTAGAAAATCTACAAATATCGCTCAGTCAGCCTTGCGTGCTTCTTCTAAATAAAGGAAAGATCTTCTAGGTAAGTGAGACTCACGGACAAATAACATCAAAAAAGAAATCTTTTTGCATTTTTTCCCTTGGCACAGTGTCTTTCGTCCAATCACTTTCAATACAGAACTTGACGGCTTTGTAAAAGCCTTCTCCTGACCCGTTCAAGATACCTTGTAACTCCTGTATCGTCCTGCTCTTTAGTGGCCTGTGGGCAATGCCCTCGTCGACGTATGTGATAGTAGTGCTGTTCACCCACGCGACGTTTCCAGGAAGTCGGACTTCATTTATCGGAGTTCCCAGCACAAGCTCGATGAGCATGAGTCCTAAGAAGAAGAGCGGGTAATCTTTCAGAGCGCCTGAGACATAATCGTATGTTCCATCTCGAATAGTGCACCAGCACGGAGGGTCATTAGGATGATCAGCACTGTACTTTGGTTTGTCGGGATTTGGACATTTCAAGGTGAACTTGTAGAGTTCTTCATCAGGGTCCTCCATGCGGCTGGATGTGATCTTCAGGCCGTGGACGTTACACCGGTCTAAAGTATGAATCCAGTCGGTTTTGAAGAAGAGCAAGCCAAACTGGGTGAGGTCCAGAGCGAGTTTGATCCTGACAATCTCGGGTAGTCGGTCGGCGGATCTCCCGAGCACAACCCGGAGCGGCTCCGGCTCCGGAATGGTGCCCTGAATCTTGCCAAACTCCTCGCGAACGAGCACCTTAGCGCTGTTAATGTTCAGCTCCATGCCGAAGTACGTTGACCCATTCCGCTCTCGGACCGCTCGTACAGCACTCAATACCGTGGGCTTGCAAGTGGTGGCATTTAGTGCATTGTCTGCTGTGACCCGGATCCTCACCCATGCTTCAGATTCGGGGGGATCCCGGACGAGAAACGTGTAACGAATGGTTCTGTCAGCAACTGAACGGGCAGTTGCCTCCTCACGCCCAATCCAGCTAGTAGGAGGGGAGCCTGCTGCAGCCAGCTTATCCGGGCTAATGCGGTCAGTCTTCTTAATGTCTGGCCCGAAGACATTCAATTCTAGCTGCAGATCAAGAACAATTGGCCGACGTACGCAGCAGTTGTATAGTTCGTTTGTTGTCTGAAAAGTGTCCCAGGCTAGGTCGACTAGCTGCTGTGAATGGCCCAAGTTATGAATACGGAGTGTCTCGAGAGAAGCATCAGGATTGGTCGGATCCCTGCGGTCCTTGATCTCCAAGAATTGATAGTCAGAAGTGCTATTGAGCAGGGCCATTCTAGTGTCTACCAAGCTCATCTGCTTGTCTAGACGTGCGCCGAATTTGATCGCTATGTGGCCTGCCTTCTTAAGGCGCCTCTCGATCGCATTCAAGCCAGAGAGCTCACACTCTCTCAGAAGCTTGTCGAGCAGAGCTATGGCCTCTTGGACGAGCTTCAAGCTGCGCAAGACTGCTTTGGCACCATCTTCGTTCCAGAAACTTTCCACAAGTGTCGTGTCGTCTGTCCATATCATCCATCGGCGATGCCACTTCAGCAATAGATTAGACACGACCTTGAGACGGTCTCGACGCGTTTCATTCCACACGGTATACTCTCGCCAATCGATGGTATCGGCATATAGAGTCGCAACGTTGGTCTTGATGAGGTTCAGGAGGCTCAGCGTGGTTGAGACAACACTGAGAATGGTGATTGGCTCCATCTCCCATCTTGCAGTTGCAACTTGCGCAGCTTAAAATCAATTGCACCCTAATCCAAACGCTGGATTGAGTACTTGCTACACCTCATCCAATATGTGCTCGCGAACCTTGATTGTTACTCAGTAACATCAGCTAGCTCGAACACACGACAGAAAGAAACAGCGGCGGGCCTGAACCTCTCTCATCCCTATCTTTCTTGGTCGAAATTCGGAATCGTGAGGCACACTGGCCAGTGCGGCTGAGATGCAGGCGCCCCCGAGGACAGTCCAAAGTGGTCATGCCTCCGTGGCTGGTCGTTATGCTCCTCCAATTACAGCATCAAGCAAGACGCCACGCGCCAGCCAGGGCGCAATGGTCATTTCGACTAGCTGCATCTTGAAAATTGCTTCTTCGGCTGGCAAAGCGCGTCCATTGTCATCGAGGTGCAGCTCCATAGTCAACCTGCATCAAACTCGGCGTCGACTTCTCTCTGTGTGGCCTCTTGAACTTGATTTCTGCTTGCAACAACGTCGCAGCACACAGCTCAGCCTGCCGCCATGGACGCTGTTGATGGAGTCGAAATAACGTCTCTTGTTGTTTCCATCGCCACCTTGATCGTGCTTGCGAATCTCCTGCTTGCCGTCAGCACGGCCCAGAGCACATATACCTCAACCTTTCTACCACGATGGAACGACCGCATTTTGGGAGAGTGGGCCAGATTTGCAAGGCGACGGTTCCGGTGGTTTGAGATGCGATTCGAGACCGAATTTGAGGTTCCATTCATCTTCCTCTCTCCAGCCAACAACAGCCGCGGCCCGCTTCCGGGATGCGATATCATCTATATCGACGGGACGATCGAGAGCTGTGTGCGGACGCGCGTCCGTCTACCCAGCAAATATAACTCTCCTGGAAAGGTTATTAAGGCCAGAGTTGGCTTGAAAGAGCCGGAATTGGAGTTTGGCATAAAGGGCGGCGTCGAGTGGCAGAGCAGCCAGCGTGACAACCGGCGCTATAAAGATGCGGTACCTGTCGTCGCCAACGAGAGGGTGACCTGGGTTCCTCTTCTGGAAGCTCTCCAAGAGATGGAGCGAGACTCGACTGGCTGGGAAGCCAGTGTGTGGAGGCGACCGGAGTTGATAGAGATCACAAGTCTGGTCGCAGGGATCCAGATCGGACGACGAGTTCTGGAGTCGACATCGGTGATCAAGAAGCCATACGCAACTACAAATATGTCTAGCATTATAGCTCTTGCTGCTATTCTGGGACTCTACTGGAAACAGTTCGACCGTGACCAGGACATATATCGAGCCGAAGGGAATAGCTTTGTTCTACGAGGATCCAGAATACCTCATTTTGGACTGGCCTTCTCTTTCGAAAAGACAGGGCGTCCGGAATTCAATAAACGGCGGCTCATTCCTACGTCGGCCGTCCATGAGCTCTGCTTCGGCCGGGTGCCAACCATATATCGCGACTGGTATGCGTACTCCCCAACCTCAGATATCGCCTTTGAAAGTAGCAAGTCGCAAGGGCAGCGCTTCATCAAGACATTGCGATTAGGTAGCAATAAAGACTTTATGGAAACGCTCATCGAGCTCGGATGTAATCAAAGGACGGCCGTACGTACGCCCAGAAAATGGGAGGCCGATTCCCAGGTTCCGATACCGTGTAAGTTGAGATTTACCATAACGATTCCCTTGATCTAACAAGACTCCAGTGCCATTCCAGATAATGGCTATGTTAGGTCAAGTACTCTACGTGAAGAATCGAGGCTTTACCTACCTTCCTAATCCAACTACCACTCCATGGCCAAAGAACCTGATTTATCTGCGACCAATGCTGCCTGCCCTAGAGCAACAGCTGAAAGCTATATCCACCGATCTCAAGCATGTACCTCGGAATCTGGAGCTTCTCGACGGCATCGTGGGCCGGCTAGAGCAGGAGCTCGAACCTCGAGACGAGCTCTTCAGTCCTCGGGAAACAGGATTGCTTTATGACTCTTTGACAAGGCTAGATGAGATTCTGATGAAGGAAGATAGCCAGGTCGTGCTCGATATAGTCTGTCAGCATATCCAAGAATGGGTCGATCCTTCTTCAATGTGCGATGTCGTGCCGCCTGAGGATACCTCACATGAATTTGTTCGTTATTCATTTGAGGTCGTTCGTAAGGAATCAATTGAGCTGGGGCCCCGTTCTTACGTGCCATCAGAATCTCTGAAGCGGTCACGATGGATTTTCCACAAGAGCAAAACAAACCAGGATCGCAGCTTCGATTCGAGAGACTCTGGTGTCGATCCGATGTACGATACAACACATCGCAATGTTGTTTGGTGTACATTATTCACGCGCATGCTGTGTTGGCTACTACTGCACAATTTTGATGAGAATGATGTCCAAGTCGCTAAGAGTGACCTGATCGGGAGTAAGGAAGAAGTCCATATCCTATGACTGGAAAGGCCATAAGGAAATATTTGTAAAGAGTACCCGTGTTGATAGCTAACACACTTATGACACTTATGAATGCACAATACTAATCCTGTCACTCCTGAGCGAATCAACCCAAGAATTCTCCAGATGCGTGTAGTGTTGTGATGTCCCACCTTCTGAAAGTTTCTCACGGAGAGCATACTCTTGAGAAAGAACCAAATATGCCCTAAGTGTTGACTCCATTTGTCGCAGCGTCTACTCTGCTCCCAGCACCCAAAGAACTTATTGTACATCTTCCAAGCGAACGCCCGGACGCCCAGAAAGTTTACGTAGATAACAGGACCCTAGAGAGTTTGGAACGGCTCTGCCAAGAAACCTTTCCGCCAATGAAGAAAATTTGTCGACAGAGTTCATCACCTACCCCAGAGCTTCTAGCTATGCCGGACTACCCGTTGGACATTTCGTAGCTTAATACCTCATGCTGAGCCGCAGATATACACTGTCACCCAACTCCGCAGATGATAGCGACTGTCCCACTAGCAACTGTCATACTCATATGTTACTCCTCTGCCCGAGTAATGGACGTTCATTTATGAAGTGTGAAGATACTGAAGCTCAAAGGTGTAATACTTATTAATCTCTCAATACTTTTACTTATTATCGTAGATCTATTAACTTCCTTAAAGGTAGCAACCTCCCGTTGAGGAAGTACTGATATCCTTGCTGAGTAACGTTTATTACTCTGGCAAAGGAGGAGATGCCTACCTACACGAAACGTTCTTCCCCAATGAGCAACATTTTATATGAGGGCATGTCAACTTTGTCGGCAGCTCGGATGACTACGCTACTACATACTGACACAAACAGTCGGCTCTACTGTGGGAGAAAGGAGCAAAAGGCGCCGATGGCATAACATAATCACCTTGGTACTTGCCCTTGTCAACCAATCATTGGATACCATAAACATGCGGACTTGACGTAAATGGGAGTTTATTCTGCAATGGCATCAATCCTTCCGAAGATTTTGCCTTGACACCTTGGTCAAGCTGTTTATGTATGCCGAAAAGACTGCCAATGTACAGGCTATTGCATATACGTTAATATGTTTGACGCTGAACTAGTCTAAGCGTAACCAAGATGGCGAATATTTGCGGGTGGAAGCTTTGTTACTGTATATTATCAATTCATATTTCCAAGCATTATACTAATATAGCCGGCTCCTAGAAGCCGTCTGACCAATGGCAGCGTGAAGAGCTGGTCATCTGTGGGTTGAATATGCGACATGAGGATATTAGCCGCGGAATTAAGAGAGGTCCTATATGAGAAAACCGGGGAACCTGGGGAGGTTTGGTCGGCAGACTGAAAACGTGTATAAGTTATTAAAGGCGTTCGCTTGGCGATCTGGTGGCTTGCTGGCTCTTTTTAAATCGTTGTCTTTGGGGGCTCTTTCTCATTTCCCTTTCTTTGCTCGAGCCTTCAGAATCTGCCACTATGTACTCATCCGTCTTAAGCATTGTTGCCCTGCTTGTAGCAGAGGCTGTTGGACATGGCGCAGTCACGAGCTACGTCATAGCAGGGAAGACCTACCCTGGGTAAGCGCTCTCATGTCACTATACTCATTCTAGGGATTCTAGTAGCTGATGTGGAATTTTTAGATATCAAGGCTTCTCTCCTGCAAATTCCAAAAATGTTATCCAGTGGCAATGGCCCGACTACAACCCTGTCATGTCGGTCACTGACGCCAAGCTCCGCTGCAACGGTGGCACTTCAGCAACTCTCAATGCACAGGTACAGCCGGGTGACAGTATTTCTGCTATCTGGGGCCAGTGGACTCACAGTCAAGGCCCAATTCTGGTCTGGATGTACAAATGCTCGGGTGCCTTTAGCTCCTGCGATGGCTCTGGCCAGGGATGGTTTAAGATTGATGAGGCAGGCTTCCACGGAGACGGCGTCAAGGTCTTTTTAGACACTGAAACTCCCTCTGGATGGGACATCGCCAAGTTGGTGGGCGGCAATAAGCAGTGGACCAGCACGATTCCGGCAGGGCTCGCCCCCGGCAATTACCTCATCCGTCATGAACTGATCGCCCTTCATCAAGCAAATACTCCGCAATTTTATGCCGAGTGTGCACAGCTCGAGGTCACTGGCTCGGGCACAGCCCAGCCAGATGCTTCATTCAAAGCCGCCATTCCCGGTTACTGCAAGCAAAGTGATCCTAACATCAAGGTACGTCTATCAATTCTTCCGGTCGCTTCCGTGTTACCAGCGCTGACATGTTTGATAGGTCCCAATAAATGATCATACCATCAATCAAACATATATCATCCCAGGTCCTCCGGTCTTTAAGGGTACCGCAAAGCGAGCTGTTACATTTGCGTCATGAAGAAGCTAGGCACCAAGTACGCATAAGATCGAGAAACATAGATTTGGAGAGTGCAGAAATTGCACTGATGAATCTACACTAGCCTACGGATCAATGGCGGGATAAGGGTATTGACTATAAAGAGAAATTGGATCATTCTCCTAAACGTTTTGCGACTTTCGAGAAGATTCCTCCCTGGAAGATCCTTTAGTCAGCCCGTATCACATGCAGCAGACTCTCTCTATCATATCATGCATATCATACTTAGCTATAAATCATTTTCTGGACATCATGTCATACGAGGCAGATAGCATTATGAAGCAGCAGCGATTTAATCTGCCCGACTGAGGGTCTTCTAGTTTGTATGAGTGTGGATCCGTGAACAGCCAAATTGCTATGGCACGGCTATAGACGGAATGCCAACTACGAAGTCGCCCAACAAATTGGATATTTTCACCCTGACCACACTAGAACTGTAAGTTTCAGTGCACTGCTTGATGGCACACTATATGTGTGGCTTGGAAATAATGCTATTTCTGGCTTTAACCACCCGCGATACCAACCTCATCGCAGACTATTATGCTCCGTTGCCTGAGGACATTTCTACCATTGACGTAACCACCAATGTCTATATTCCTATCAGAATGTTGTTCTCGATGCTTAATTACTTGGGGGCTTTGACTTCAGTCTCACGCGTCCTCAGGGCAACATTGTGGTATCAACTCTCCGATAGTGGTGGGCAAATAGCTCGTTGTCGGCTTGCGACGAAAATGCCGAAGCGACGCCGTTTGCCGTCTTGATGGACCACTTGGAGCGAGACACCTTTCTCAGATATCTGAAGAACGTAATCTTACGGCGGAAGCGCAAACTCCATCGCTGTGCCACACCGCTCTCCTCTCCTGTCCTCTTAGGTGACGTTAGCGCGAGATCCATCTTGATCCTTCAATCCGCCGATTACCAATATATAAAAGCGATGCCTCGCATTTCTCCTCTTCCTCCTCTAACCTCGTGAAAATACTTCACATGCACAACCAGGTCCACCACTGATTCACCATGTCTGCAGTCACTAAAGTCCTCCACAGAAAGAGCTACCCCGCCATCGACGCGGCGTCCCCTGAGCAATCGCAAGCAGGGCGCAAGGTACTCATCACCGGGGGATCCGCTGTCATTGGGCGTGCCGCTGCCGAGGGCTTTGTTACCGCAGGGGCAGACACGGTTGTCATCACCTCTCGGTCCGCAGAAAAGGCTACTCGGGTGGCTAAAGAGATTGAAAGTTCAGGAAGTGGCCAGACTAAGGTAGTGGGATATCAGTACGAGATCAAGGACATCAACTCGGTAAAGGCATTGTGGGATAGTCTGGAACGTGATGGGATCCAGATTGATGTCCTAGTGCTGAACACGACAGATTTGACTCCGGCTACTCCAGAGCGTAAGTACCGACTAATTCATATTCGCCAGCTTTCACACAAGAAACTAACGTACGTTCCTAGCTGATCAAACTTTGGAGGGATTTTTCAAGTTTTTCGAGTCTGCAGTTAGAAATCAGTCAATAAACGTTGATCGTTTCATGCGGCAAGGTTCTAAAGAGGGCAAGGTAGTTACGGCCATTTTCCAAATGTCTAACTCATCTAACCCAATGGCCCTCAACATTGCAGGTTCTCATTTATGTATCGACCAATGCAACTCACTTTAGTGGACTGCCGCTGCATTACACGGCCGCTAGCTCGTCACGCCTCGCTTTCAACCGAATGCTGGCGGATCTGGCGGACAATACGCCGGCAGATCAAATGCAAATTCTAAGCATCGTAAGTAGATTGTAATGGGGGCTCTTTCTGGAAGTAAGTACGAAAATCTGATTTGTATGACTTTCCAGCACCCTGGCTTTGTCCTCACACCTGAGAACATGACCCATGGCTATCACGCCGACAGCCTGGGAACCCCATTTGATGAGGCGTCCCTGCCCGGCAACTTCTTTGTCTGGGCTGCTACACAGAAGGCTAAGTTTCTCCACGGGCGTTTTCTGTGGACGAATTGGGATGTGGAAGAGCTGATGAGCATGAGAGACAAATTTGAGGCCGACAAGGGCTTCCTTCGACCAGGTTTGCAAGGAGTGGTATCTCAGGATTTTCCCATGCTCATTGCAGGTATGGCCCGTGCTGTGTGAGTTCCAGGCTAGCGAAGATGGCTGTTTGGCCTTAAGTGTGATAAACATGTTGATGGAGTCTAATACGAACTTGAGATACAATTCAAAGACATATAGCTGAAGTAGAACTCAATCGTTAATGATGTGATTGATACGTGAGAATAGAGATGCGTTTTGATGTGATTGCCATCCGTATTTGCTGGATTCACGGCAGCATGCTGGAAATCTTCTGATACTGAAAGTACATGAGAATACAATGTGCTTTACAGACATTTCCGTGTGAGCTTTAGCGCCAAAAGCGAACGTCTGATAACAAGGTTGGTTCCTGCTTAATGGTCGACATTTTCATTCACTTCACTTGTCCAATACAGCTTCGGTATCTGCCCACTTCTTCCGTTCCTTAACACTAAATTTAGCTCTCAAAGATTCACGCAGGGAATAGTTGATTTCAAAGAGCGTGAAGAGCATCCCAAAACCAGCAACTGCCGCACCAACAGCCCACGAGATCCTCAATGCATCGGTATACACCTCCATAATCTCCGACTGGGATGCCTTAGGAAACGAGTTTACGAATGCTGTGGTCGCATTCACGTAAGCATTCCAGCCGCTCAGGGCAGCACGTATTGCGGGGTCTGTTATTTTCCAAATATTCTTAGAGAAGATGTTGTTGAAGACAGCAGCAGGGACAGCAACGCCCCAGATGGCACCATAGCTCCGCACATATGCAAATGTTGCTGTACTGGCCGCGTTGTCTTCGTCTGTTAATCTGGCTTGAATACCAGGCAGGAGTGACGTTGCCAGCGCGCCGTTACACGGGCGGCAATAAGGTGGAGGCAGGTCCACATAGCAGTGCTGGATTTCGCGTCCAATGCCGCAAAGCTACCCAGTCCCGCGGCCATGAGGACCATGCCTGAGATGTGTAGGAGCTTATATTTGCCGAACTGTGAGAGATACTTGCCAGCAATGACGGCAGAAGGCAGAAACCCCATGACGGTAGGAAGGATTTGTACTCCGGAGCGGGAAGGTGTGGTAAGCTGCACGGCTTGAAAGTAGACAGGAAGGAAGTAGAAGGTCCATAGGGTCAAAATGGCGTGGATGAACGTTGCAAAATAGGAATTGGAGGACGTTCGGTTTTCAAAGAGATGGGCAGGTATTGCAGGCCATTTGCAGAACGGTGAAGACTCGTAGGTATGGAAGGCTGCTATACCGACGACACCCATGATGAGTGGCGCCAATACACGGCCATCTGTCCAGCTATAGGTAGTGCCAGCGTATGTTAGTGCGTACATGACTGCAAAGACGGAGCAGATGACCAGTATATTGCCGACGTAGTCGATGCGGCGAAGGCGTTCCTTGAAAGGGGCATGGATGTAATTGACTTGCAGGAAGCAGAAGAGTAAAATGAGCGACACGCCACCGATTGGTAGGTTGAGCCAGAAGACCCATCGCCATGTCGAATGCTGAACAATCGTACCCCCAATGAAAGGGCCAAGGAACAGTCCGATAGCAAAGAAAGCATTTACGATTCCAATAAACTTGCCTCGCTCGCGTAGAGAGGTTAAGTCACATATGATGAGGTCAAGTAGCATGTTCACTCCACCACTTCCCAAGCCTTGGATTGCACGTCCGGCGATCAACATGCTGGAATCATTGGCTCCACGAGAGATGCCGCTGCCGAACGTGCAAATGGCAACACTGATAATCATGGGCCAACGGCGACCCTATGAATCAGCTAATTGGCCGACGATAGGGAGGAACGCGGTACTATTTCCTTATTCGAGATTGCTTCGTAAATGAGCTTGTTTTGGGCGCAAAGTGCTTAGCAACGAACCTGGTCAGAAGGTAGGGGTTGATGATCCACGTGTAGTTATTTCCAATTTTCAGATCATGAACAATAGTAAGAAGTGCAGTCGAGGTGACTGTACGAAACAATATATTCAGCTCGTCTCAATGAAAGATAGCACTGAATGCCGACACATACCTGTAACCTCAACCGCAGATAGAAGTGTCGTGAACATTAGGGATAGTATAATGGCCCAGAACCGCCATGATCTCCCATTACTAAGTCCTTGTGCTTCGCCATCCTGCTTATTGTCTGATTGTGTCTCATTTGTGTCAATATTGGAATTGTATTGCCCTCATGTTTGCCGTAGCCGGCTGGAGTCCCATTACTGACGACTTGCTCTCGGCCAGCTTTCAGCACGGCGGTAGGGTCGATACTTACGCGATTCGCCGAGCTGGATCTGGTTTCATCACCCATTGCCGTCGACGACTTCAGAGCTAATAGACAAGGGCACTTCTCAATTGCTCATCTAGTAAGAAGCGAGTATTCTCTAATCTTGTTGGTCAAGAGCTGTGGGATGAGGAGAGCCATAGATTTCTTCGCATTCTATTGATCATTTTTTTCCTCTGGAGAATCACCAGGTACAAAAGTCCGACTTTATCAAGCCTCCCATCTTCCAATTGCGCCTCCGAATTTGACCGTGGAAGTCGGCGAAAAGTACCTAGTGAGTTCGGCGCTTGGGTATCGCTAGCAGCAAGCAGTTCTTGGTACGTCAGCGCACGGGTCATCTCTTCGGCGTTTTGTTCCTCGCAAGTACCCAGTCGCTTCTTTACGCCTTAAACCCCAGGTTAGGAAGTGGGTGATACTTTGCGTCGCGAAGGAGGCGAAATCGCCCAAGTACAAGCTACTCCACTAATGTTAGATATTCCCAGCAAACTTTCTATTTTCTAAGACCATACGACGCTAATGCTACCTTTCTTTACTCTTTCCTTACTCCCAACACGATGCATATTGTGTCTCATACTAGAAGCCATACAATAATGTGATGTATTCTGTAACTTGCGCCGATCTTCTTGGCCATAATGCCGAGACCTCGCAATCCCAATCCGCCGACTCGTCAAGCTTGCGACCGGTGTCATGCCCGGAAACTACGCTGCCAACATCAGGGCAGCGAAGGGCATGCATTCGGTGTTTGCGGAGTAACACGGCCTGCGTGTTTAGTCCTCGACAGCAACGCGCAGTGACAGTCCAGACAAGCTGGGCACTTCCTAATGGTAGTAATGATTCGCCGACAACTTTCTTTTCAGACTAGCCTAGTGGAGGTGGAGGTAGCTTGTTGGACATGTTCTCGGCAGGCTTTGAAAGCGGCTGCAACTCCGCCCTTGATTTGACAAACACCAGCTCAGGTTGGAGCTTTCCCTTCCAAGGATAACAAGAATTCTCGGGTGAAATGCAAATACAAAGACCGCATGTCCTCTCTGCCATCAACGCTAATATAGACTATCATTCCCCAACCTCAGCCTCCGCCCCTGAGCCCAGTGTCCAGGATGATCTATCTAGTTCAGTAAACTATGTCCACCAACTCGCCGACTTGAACGCGCGCTTGTTCGAGCACGCCGAGAAACTCCCTCCGGTCAGCACGGTGATAACGGACAAAATCCCTAGTCTCGATGGCCGGGTCTTCGCCATCGACGAGACGGTCCGCATGACACAAACACTCATCGACATCCTCAAACGCATCTACCCGCACACATTCCACACCGCGCCGCCCGCGGACTTTGTTCCTGACCAGGGCACGGTGCTTCTGATCATGTCATGCTCCAATTGCGTATTTGACATCTACGAAATAATTTTCAGTCATATGCGAGGGTGCATCATGCATCGGATTACACCCGTCGGTAAAGACGGCAAGACCATCCTCCTACCACAACTTCGCACCGGGTCTTTTGCCCCACGACTCCAAGCGCCATAGTCATGCAGATGCTTCTCATCATTCTGATGGCATCGGAACTTTTCGATCAGCTGCAGGACATGTTAGGCGTCTGGCGCTGGAATGGTGCAGAGAAAATTCAAGCCAGTAGTAAGGGGGACAGTAGCGCTGGACCAGTCGAAGCGAGCCATGGCCATTTTGAAGAGCTCGAGCTCACTGTCGGCACAAGATTAAGATTTCCGAATTTCGCAGAGGAGGCCAAGGCGAAAATGGCTGAGCGAGCCAGTGCGGTAGCCGGGAAAATTGTCGACACACGGCAATTGTTGCCAAGGTTACCCGGCATGCGAGGGGAGGGTTCGATACAGCAGTTCCTATCATAGATCGGTCCTTGCCCCTTGTGGCTTGCATTGTTATGTTAGCGTAGAAGTCACACTATTGAGACATCCGTTGTCTCTATGGACCAGTGTCAAGCAGCAATGCCTGGCTGATGAGGTGTCAATGAGGTCTGGGTGGGATGTTCTTGCTTTACTCCCCTTATACGAAATGGTAAAAAATTAGTTTAATATTACTTGTGTATACTATGAAGTTAAATTATTTTATCTGCTTGTCCTCCTCCGCATCCTTCTCTAGTTGCCAATAATATACAAGGTTATAGAATATAGCCAGCTGCAACAGCTACAAGAGCAAATACACCACCAATAGAGATGACCTTGTTGCCACTTGCACCAGCAGTGACAACAGCGGTGGGTGATGGTGATGCCGGTGCGGTGCCATTGGATCCGGGCACGACTGAAGTGACAATTGTGCTACCACCGCCCGGGGTTGATGCGGCGGGATAGACGTGGGTGTAGCTTATGATCTCAGTGGTCTTGGAGCCGACAGGGCAGTCGGTGACGGTAGGCGGGCATGAGGTGATGGTATACACTGAAGTAGTAGTGAGGGTGGACGTGAGCTCTGCATCATTGCTGATGACAGTCAAAAGGGGCTCCGTGCAGGTCCCAGTAGGCACGACCGGTGAGCGCGTCACGACATCAGGCGTGGACGAGAACGGCGGTGCGCTGCCAATGGTGACGGTGGAGTTTTGAGCCTCGACGCCAGCAAGGGCTAGTTGAATGTGAGCAATAGGTTTCGCATGGTCATGATGCAGTAATACTTACCAGCGAGGGCAACGACGATGTAGAACATCATCCTAGCGATATAGTGAGAGTGAAGCAGCAGACCAAGTGCACGATCCGAACGAATGACTGGCAGATTCTGGTAGATGATGCAGAGAGCGTTGGTCTCGTAGGGAGAAGAACAGGCAATGGGGATTAAGAACTATCAGTGAACAAACACGGAAATCATAAACTATAACGCCATGACACAAAGCCGTCTTCATCAATCAAGGCAGAGCAAGGCTGGATTACAGTTATGTAATCCCTCTCAGTACCTCAGAGGCGTTTGCCGTTGGGGCATTCCCCGCGCGAGGCACCACGAGGTGTTACTCGTAGGGCTATCCTTGAGTGAATTGGAATAACATCTAATGAGATATGCAGCCTAGTGCGAGAATTCCCTCTTTCGGATTTGAGAGACAGAAGAGTAGCCTAACTGAGCGTGCGAGCTCCTGTTAGGCCGCGGAATGCTGATGAGCCGGAATTGCCTGCGCCTCTGCTAGCAGTTGTGGGAGCACTCTATGGCGTTCCTTTAAAGCCACGGAATGTAGACCTCCCGGGATTAGCGTTACCTAGGCCCCAGACTACTGGGACACACAGCGCGATCATCGCGATTAGGTTACGGGAAACCAACTGCCGTACTAAAACGTCTGCGCTAGTGCCATGTGTGACGAGACGGAAGCCCGGAAACAAAACATTGGCATTGGAATTGTCGCGATCATCTAAGATTGCTGCTAGTTCTTAGTGTTGAGTGCTGGGCTGCGAGTGCTGTGAAATGTCAGCAATGACGATGTTGATTGCGATTAAACGCCTCGTGCACGCTACGAGCCCAACTCCTCAAGACAATATGTACTCATTCTTCGCCTCTTGCCTAAGTGAAAAGCGTTTGCTCCTCTTCACAGACGTTTTCTAAATAACACTTACATGCTATTTGGGAAAAATAATCGAATCTCCTCATCGTCTGCTCAATTCGATCCTCATATCCATCTATCTACTATCCATCATGTTCTTCTCGGCTGCTACTGCTGCTCTTGCAGTTGCTGGTCTAGCATCAGCTGCTCCAGCCGTCGTAAAGCGTGCTCCTCAGGTCACGGATGGCGATATTCTCAACTATGCTCTTACGCTCGAGCATCTGGAGGATAAGTTTTACCGTGAGGGACTGGCCAATTTCACTGAAGCAGACTTCGCAGCTGCCGGCTACGACGCAACTTTCTACAGCAATATTCAGAAGGTGTCTGAGGACGAGACAACACATGTTAGCTTCCTGACCAAGGCTCTCACCGGTACGTTCAACTTCCACTCATCCACCAATCAACTTTCAAATGGTCGATGCTGACTATGCTCATCTCAGCTGCCGGCGTTGCTCCTGTTGCGGAGTGCGAGTATGCCTTTGGTGTCACTGACGTCGAGAGCTTCCTTGCTACCGCCTCCATCCTCGAGGGTGTTGGTGTATCTGCCTATCTTGGTGCTGCTGCAGATATCATGAGCAAGACATACCTCACCGCTGCTGGGTCCATCCTCACTGTTGAGGCCCGTCATTCCTCTTATCTGCGCGCGGGTCTCAACCAGAAGCCTTTCCCTCAAGCCTTTGATGCACCCCTTACCCTTGACGAGGTGTACTCCCTCGCCTCGCAGTTCATTGTCAGCTGCCCGTCTACCAATGTGGCATTGCCCGTCAAGGCGTTCCCCAAGCTCGTGCTTGATCCTACCACTACGTCTGTCACCGCTGGTAGCACTGTTACCCTCCTGACACCTGTAAGTTCAGCACAATCAGATTTCTAGCAGCAGAATATCTAGCGTCCGTCTTGAAGAAAGTTTACTGATTCATATTCTAGGATTATGTTCTCAAGGCTGCCGATGGCCAACAGGTCTATGGTGCTTTCATTGCCGTGACTGGACCCACCTTTGTCCCGGCCACTGCTGTTGACGGTGGTTACTCCGTCACCATCCCCGAAGGCTTTGCCGGCCAGTCCTACGTTGTTCTCACTGGCTGTGACGAGTATGTCTCCGATGACACCGTCGCTGCTGGTCCTGCAATCGTTGAGGTACGTAGTAGATAACAATCTTCTTGATGAGGTCTATTGCAGTGGCTAATAACTTGACTATCAGATCTCGAGCTAAATTAAGACCACATTTTGATCCATTTATTCTTCTTAATGTAAATAATAGCATCTATTGAGTCGAGAAAAGGGGTTCACCTTTGAGTAATTAGTAAAGTCAGCTTACTAATAGTAATAATATGATATATACGAGTTCTATTCTGTCTCAATAGGATGAATCCCGATTTGCAAATGGGAGACGCACAATTGCTCCGAATGTGTAACCCGAAACCAGTACGGACTTCAGTCACATCTCATAGACCTAAGTCGCTTCAAGTGTAACCACTTTGATCTACTCCATCGTCGTCGTCGGTTGTCTTAATTTTATCCAGAGGTATATTTGTAATTTATCGTAGCAAATTAATTTTCCGCGAGGCACTTTGTTTGCTCGGGATACTTTGTATGTCGGGAATCCTTAGTTTGTCGGAGACATCTCTTCCAGTAAACCAGGTCCGCGCTTGCTTAAACTGCCCAATTCTCCTGTTCTCTACATAAGCCGTATTCATGTTCCAAGTTGGGGCCCTTTGACTTTTCTTGGGTGGAGAATGCATGAAGGGTTTTGTTGTGAGGGTCCCATCCCTAAAACTGTTCACGTGAGCTTCGACCCAAGCAGACAACTCAAGCCCGGCAACCCTGGTTGTCTTATCTAAGCTTCGTTTCGCCGCGTATCTCCAGATATCTTTGAGATCTCCCGTCGTTCTATCATACGGGTGATACTGGCTGAACTTTTGCCATCGAATAACTGCTTCACGCGCGTCATGTTCCGAGACCTGAAACCATTCATCATGTTGAGTACTGCAACCCATGACTCGTCTCTTCAGCTGTGCTCGTGAAAGAGATTGGTTTTGTTCTCTAGCAGACTGCTGTGAGTCGTACTTGTCATTCAATGGGTGCATAGGACGGAATTCAGGGGTAAAAAGATGGCTCGGCTACTCGGCCGGCTAAATAAACGACAAAGGCAAACTGCCCTCCGCACACACTCAGGCTCTTAACTTAAATGATACTCCAAATGTCTGACAGCCGAGTCTTATTCCGTAGTTTGTGCGCGTGGGAAAGCACCAGCTATATCTAGATCTACGTCATTCAATATGGCCATCTTACCATGCCCAGCACCAACCAGAAAGTTGGGTTGCGGCCGGACAGCTTTTTATAGCGTAGCAACTTTTCTTTACGTTCAGTACATATTGATTCGGGTGTCTGATTGCCATTGAGACTTCTTTGAGTGGAGACTACTCCGGACTTTCACCTACGGAGGTGTGTTTCCAAGCATCTACCTTTGCGGCCTCGCCCCAAATCATTTCCGTGAAATGTATGCAAATATATCATGAAAAATACTGGATCATTTGTCAGATATGCTTCAACCTTTGCTGCCGAGAAGCCGAGAGCATTCTAAAGTGCAAAACAAGTATAAAAGGGGCCATGAAGCGCGCGACTGCCCCTGTAGACCGAATATGAAGATCTCTGACCAGACATACACACAGTCTTGTTGCTCAGACTCAATTCAATTACTCTCCCATCAAGAATCGCCTATAGTTCACAATGCAAGTCAGCCATATAATTCTTGCAGCTCTTTCGGCAACATTGGCCACCGCTCAGTGCCCCACGGCGCCGCCGCCCATCCCGACTTGCGCGGTAAGATTCGGATACTGGCGCCAATTATGGCCGGCAGTGCTTGACTAACTCTCATTCTATAGTTCAATTGTATCGCATCGGCTGCATCAGTGGTTGGCTGCACGGCTGCAACTGATTTTGCCTGTCAATGTGCGAGTGCGACCGCATTTGCGCCGTTGGCATCGCCCTGCTTGATCAATGCATGCGGTCCAGAGACTGCGCTTTCTGTTTCTGCCATAGCTCAGACAATGTGTTCACTTTGCGCACCTACGCCTACTGCTCATGTTTAGTGGTAAAGAGATCGCAGAAGCTGCTTTCTAAGAGAGTATGACAGCGTATGTATGCCGACGGTGTTTGCAGCTTACAATGGCAAGGAAAACCCATTCAAGAGGGGCTGTCTTGCGACATACCTTGAAAAAACTGCCAAGTTGGCTCACAGTAATTCTAAGGAGACGTTTTTGTCTGCTGTGATACGGTTTACATAGGATTGAAAAGCGTTAGCTGGGATAGCTATTCTAAAGATTAAGCGGAAGATGTCCTGGCTTTTCAGTAATAGAAGTGATCAGAAATGAAAAGAATCCCTCATCTGTACGATACTATTGATTGCCGCTCCCTTTTCGGTTGAAGAGACGTGCATCTGCCGCGGATTTACATTTGACTAGTTGTATGCCCATGAATTCTAGAGGCTACATCGGCAAGACCTTACACAGATGAAATATGAATGATAGTCCCTCGAATATCATCTAAGCGTCGCTCACAAGCTACAAGCTAGTGTCTTCTAGGTAATGAATCGCATATGTGGTGATGGCTAGCCATTGGGCGGCAAATTTGCCTAAGCGATAGGCTTTGGATTTCTCCCTTGTGATACGCACGTTTCATGGCAGAGTTGTCGTGCCGCCAACAAACCAATCACAATGGGCCAAGAGGCTAAGTCCGCTCCGACTTGTAAACTAGGCAGCCTTTCAGCTTTTCACAGATCAATGTTATGTATTGCTTAGTCTAAAGAGAGAAAACGGCTCTTTCGACTCTACCGAGTCGGCTTCGAATTTCCTCACATTGAAACGTAGAGACGGGCGACAGCCTTGGCCTTTCTCGAGCCATTTAGTACATACCTGCCTTGAAAGCCGACGACTACAACTTTTTGCGACTTACTCATAATGCCCGTCCGTGACCTTCGACATGTGGAGGAGCTTGCTCGTGAATACCGCATCATTTTCGCTGGAGAGCTGAGTCGTTCGAAATGGCCCGATCGACATCGAGGCACACTCGAAGCCATCCAACGGCTCTCGAACAAAGAATTTGATGACTATACTGATGGCTCGGATATGGATAACGAGCCGTGGAGAGTTGAAGTGAGGTCTCTTGCCAGCAAACTTAGGGAGCAAGCACGCCGTTGTAGCCAGCGCAACGAGTCTAGTTGGAGATTCGCCTGCGAGCCCGTTATTCTCGGTCGAATATCATCCGAAGTTTGTTGGTAAGTACTAGACACACCCTAAGTAACCACATTCATGTCAGAGAGACTAAGCTACGGCCAGTCAAAACTGCCGAAAGCGACTGTGGCGCTCAGAGATAGAGGTCGCCCAAGACGATGATAGCCAAACAGCCACGAACCTTAGACGACGTCAAGAAGCTCGCGAACCATGTCGATGTCCCAGAATCGCTCGCGGTCAAGATTTGTAAGTTATATGTAAAGGTTGATTGGTGGGAAAAGTCAGAGCTAAAGGCCGTTAGCCTTGAGGTATCTGGATTAAATTCGATCTTCCACTTCCGAATAGATGAGGAGGTTCACCACGACAAAGAAATATCCGAAAAGCTTGGGAACGGCGAAAAGCCAGATCGAGTGTACGGGCTACGCCAGACGAGGAATATTGAGAACCTCCTTCACGATGCGGCCAAGCGCCACTTTCAGGATACAAACAGTCAAGTCACCAAAGAGGTGCAAGAGTTGATCGAGCTTGGTCAGCCCCTTACTCAGACAGGTGACCGCCTCTTGTTTCCATTTCTGGTCCTCGAGGCGAAATCAGGGAATGCAGGAGATAGCTGGCATTCCATCCAAATGCAAACCGCGTTTTCCATCCGCACTTTGCTTGACACCCAAGACCGTCTACGCAAAGCTACCGGTCCTTTCTCAAAATGGAAGTCGGGCCCCCTAGTATGGTTTTTGGCGAACAAAGGAGAAGACTGGCGTGTTTCTTTATGCTATACTGAAGCTGCCACGCCTCAGCTGCATACTATTGGAACTACGGAATATGTTCGTAATTTTTCTCTTCCAGATCGTCACTGAGGCTAATACTTAGGAGCGCGTTATCGATGTGTGGCGCGGCTCTATCATATCACGGAATGGGCCTTTACAATTATTACTCCTGGTCGATTACATCCTCGATTGGGCAAGAGACAAATACAGAAACGACATTATCGCAGAATTGCGACTCCTCGCATCGGGAGATAATGACACTGCTAGTGCGCTATATGTCGACTCAGATATCTTTTCAACTCTTCAGGTTGATCCTCGAAATTACTTCGACGACCAGTCTTCTCAGTCGGACGGGGTTGATACAGCCGTTTCATTACAGAAAGCTTTCAATTATGATTCTTCATCGGGCGTTGTTCGACATGCGAAGTTTGTGGACTCGAGATTCTGCGCTATTTTAATCACAAAGGACAATGTTCAACTCCTTCTACGCTCTACGGCACCAAGTCATGTCCGCAAGCTTTGCAACGACATTATATACCACGTTAGTAAAGAATTCGTGGTTGAAGCATCAGACATTGATGATCTCGAATTGCATTGGACAGGAACACGGCATCCGGGATGGGCATACCGTCATCAAAGGCAATCGCCATACTATACCTCTCTTTCTTTCTGCACGTACCTTGATGCTAAATGGCATATCGTGTATGAGCTTACCGTCATAGCGGTTGCATTAGATGCCTGGACGGACATTGTGCTGGCGTCTAGCCTTAACGAAAGCAAGAAAGAGGCCTTGATCCAACCATCAATTCCCAAGATCACTGTGCACGACACACTTTTTCATGCAGTGAGGCGACTCCAAGCAGGATCTCCAGCGCAAATTCTTTTGTCAGCCATTAACAGATTATCTGTAAGCCTCGGAATAAAGAAGGAAAATGGGGATGTTACCATTGAGCCGCACCTCGGCCATGCTCGGGACATCTTCCACTTCATCTATTGTTCAGCCAAGAGGGGTATATTGGAGCCCCAGGAACCTTTCATGAGATTTTCGAAGAAACTTAATCAGCAAGACCGATTGGACATCTACGATGGGCAGCTATTCCATGCTGATCCACATGTTTCAGATGAGGGTTGCGTCCTAGTGACAGGTACATGTGTTCCCCCCGACGAAGATAGGTTAAGGAGGAATATCTGCGTCTACTTGACTACCGGTGATTCTC